GTGTAGCCAGACCTTAGGGCACCATCCCCATTAAGCGGGAAGGTCCTGTGTCCTCTGAGCTCAGTGCCACCCTCTGTGCGTGGCGGGACACCCCGGGGCCGCCGGGCTCCTCGTGACCTACCTGCAAGGCAGCCTGGCACTCGTCCACCAGCCCCTGCACCAGGTAGTACTTGGCCTCTGCCAGCAGCTCCTCTATCTCCCTGCGGCTCTCGGGCAGCGGCACGGCCCCGTCGCGCAGGTAGTTCAGGATGGTCCCGAAGTGCTTCCCGCAGCGGTCGATCAGGATCCAGCCTAGGGGAAGGGGAAACGCAGAGTAGAGCAGAGCAGAGGAGGAGAACACAGCGGGAGGGGGGTCCTTCCCGGGCGGAGCGCCCAGAGCGGAGCCTCGGGACCACGAGGTGCCCGGGAGCGCTGCGGCGGGCAGGAACAGACGGACCCCGAGGTGGGAACGCACCGTCCCTGCACTTTTCCAAGGGCACAGGCAGCAGAAAGGTAGGAAGTTCATTCGTTTTCTTCAGTTCCCCAATAACTAATTAACTGAAACAGAGAAATAAACACTTGCACTCTGAGAGCAGCCCTTCCTGACCCGCTGGTCTCGTGCCCTGCCCCGTTACACACACGTGTGGCTGCTCCTAGAGCAGAGCAGCCCCGGCATGGTGACCTGCCACCTCCCACGGACGTGCGAGGGGCTGGAAAGAGACACACAGCAGGGACTTCAGCAGCGCCACCGCAAATCCCATCTCACATTCCCAAAGAACACGGCAGTATTGGTAGAACAACTGGGAACCAGCCCAAAACTCCTCAAGGAAACGATGCGCGAGCAAGCGTAGAGCAGAAGGGACACCCAGCCCCTGCCCTGGGACACTGCTGCTTCCTGGGAAGAGCGAAAAGGCAGCGGAGCTCCAGCCGGGAGCGCGGGCTCCGTCCGTCCCCTCCTGCTGCCTGGGCCTGGCTCGACCCTGGAAGCGCTTACGCAACCTCCAGGCTGGAGTTTCCATAAACGAGGAGCAGGCCAAACTCACGGGCTGCGGCTCAGGAATGCAGCGAGGAAACGCTTGCGGGGAAGCAGTCATATTTTGAACAAATAAGGAAAGTAGGTTAAAGCAGACCCTGTGTGTTGTGCATGAATGGAATTACTAATAAATCTGGATATTTGGTTAAATCTGGAAAGTGAACACAGCCCTTTCATGCTGCCCTGTTGAAAAGTGAGACGTCCCACCGCAGTTTACTAGAGACTTTCCAGCTCCCTCCCTACGCTTCTGTCTCCACAAAACACCCCGTGTGCTCACAGCTGCCACCTTCACAGCCCACAGAAACAAACTGGAAAGCTGGAGGTTGAGAAATCAAAGGAAAGAGCCAGCAGAGCAGAGGGCACCCACTGCTCGAGACAGGGCTTCAGAGCAGGAGCTCCCGTTGTAACGAGACGAGGGAGCACAAGCCATGGTGCAAACCCAGTGCCACCACGCAGACATGGGCAACGCTTAGTCAAGTGCCCCAGGTGTGCAGGGAAGCAAAGGGCAGGCTCAGGGAGCAGTTACAGTCACCAAACGTCTTTGTTTTCATCTCTGCTGTGATTCCCTCTGCAGGCTGTAAAAATCCGCAGCAATTTCATGTTTACAGATGGTGAAACCAAAGCAGAATTGCTCTCTTGCAGTTGGGGGGGAAGGGAGGAGAAAATATTTTGAGCAACATTGCAAAATACAAGTGGCTGCTAAAGTAGCTTTCAAAAAACCTTCTGTTTTAACCAATCAGCCTAAACAGAGAGCGGAGAAAGGATGACTCACAGGACAGCGACCCTGCTGCTGCTTAGTGCAGCTCTGCAGAGCCCCAAACTGCCTCTCGCCTATGGTCTTTTAAAGCCTTTTCTTAAATTGTGGTACAAGAACCATGCCCTGCAATCCGTTTATTGAGGTGGGAATACATAATCCAGGAACTATATGCACACATATTCGATTATTAGGAAATTAAGCCTGTGTTTGGCAAGAAGTCCCAGGGACAGCATGCAAAAAAAAGAAGCTGAAACAGAGCACATTTTCTGATCAAGCTGATGCAGCCGCATCCTGGCATGGGGATAGCCTGACCCCCCAGCCATACAGGTAAGGGGCCAGAAAGCACCCACTGTCTAAGAGCAGTGGGGAGAAAGGAGAAAAACGCAAGGAAGAAAGAAAGAAAAAAACACTTTGCAGTAAGGATATTCTGGAAATAGTCCCGAAGACCTGGAAAATTCACACCTTTCTCCCTCCCTTTACAATTTTCAACATGTGCGGATTTGCTACAATCCACATCTAAGGTGAAAATAATCGCCTGCCATCTAGCAGCAGGGAATCCAGCTATTTCTCCTACAGCCCAAGCAGCAGCACGTTGTGACTGTTAGATGTGGAGGAAGAGCCTGGGAGATGGCCCCGGGGTCAGGGGAATGGATCAGGACGAGCAGGGTGGCACATTCCACGGATCCTTCAGAAACTCGGATCTCTGCAGCTTCTCTGCAAGTTTGGCTGCTCTTCCTGAGCAACATTTTGTTCTGAGCCAGATTTGGGTGGAACCAGCGAACAGCATTTTGAAGAATTGCAGATAAAAAGGGTTTCCTTTAACAGCTCTGATGCTATTGTCCTGGTTTCCAACAACATGCCAGGGAGCGGGAGATAAAACAAGAACTACTGCGCTGGGAGTGTCTCACTTGCACCGTGCAGGAAGCGTCCCATTCCTCCTTAAACATTAACTGCCCAAATGGGAACAATCCCATGTGGACACGCTGGGATTCGCAGCAAAATAAGCTTGGGATCTTCCACCTCGAGCACGGTATTTTAGAGGATTAAATCCCAGCCAGCAGTATTAGTACATTAGCAGTAACAGTGTCAGCTGCTCCGTGGGCAGAAATGCCTGTATTCAGGCAGAGCAGTAAATCCTGTGTTTTAGGAGCATTGTGGAAGAACAGATTCCCACCTGACACCTCTCCATTCTTCCCAGGGTGGAAATGGATTCCCAATTGACAACATTTTTTTTTCCATTTGACCCACAAACTGGCTTTTTAACATAACCTTTAGCCTTCACGGCAGCAGAGGTATCTTGATCTGGAGTCCAAAAACCACAGCTCTAAAGGTAATCCTATGCAGTGGCTGGAAGCTTGTAAAAGCCACGGGATAACAAAATGGGAAAATGCAACTTCCTCCTGCTAAAACATAAGCAGTTCTAGCTAAAACAGGAGTATTCTCATATCAAATCAGGTTGTGCTTTTTTACAATTTTTTCTCAAAGCCCATTTCCTCCAATCTCAGGAAAGTTAATCACAAAAGCTTATTAAATCCATCATTTCTTCTGCCTGACCTCTAGATACAGGCTGAGTATATGCTAGAGCTGTCAAAACTAGGCCCAATAGATCAATCAAGTAACACATTTTCTACACTTTTAGCAAATTCAAACAATATTTCTCCAATTAATTGCTAGAAAGCAATTTTGAACCTTTAAGATAGGTGGCATAGTAGCTCCTGTTAAAGAAAATGTACCAAGTTCACAAATAATAATTATGGGCAAAATGCCAGCACAGAAATAGAAACTTGTGCTTTGAATTAAGGTCCATGACAGTTCGTGACATCATTTAAGAACACTGATAGGAAATTACCCTCACAGTTGCAAAGAGCCATCATAAAAATGCCTCCTTGCAGTTCAGTGGTGCAGCTAATGTTTAAAGGAATTGCAACAGAACAAAAAGTCAACATATTTCACAAGGAAGCCAAGTATCTGAGCAGAGCTCAGAGCAGAGCAGAGCTCAGATACTTCAGAGCTCCTTCAGAGATGGCAGTTTGATACTGGGCAGATTCTTTCCAGGCACCTTTAGCTGGAGACATCCATGTGCTGCCAGTAGTACCTGGAGGGAATTTTCCGAATTTTCACAACTGTTTTTATTTTAGGGAATCCAGCAATGACTACTCTCACAAGAAAACAAATCTACATTTCAAAGCTTAGCTTTTAGCTCAAGAGCCCTACAAAGTAAATTTTCTCTGTAAGTGTCTGATAAGGAAACCAGACAAGGGAACCACCCTCTCAGCTTTAAAATATACAAGTAAGTTCTGGCTCAGAGCTTCTTAACCATTATCCTAACCATTTTCTGTAGACTTAAGAATTTAGGATAGAATTTTAAAAAGAAAAAAAGATAGAATGGGGCCTGCTCTGGTCCTGACAGGGACCTGTGGACTTCATGTCACCCTCTTGTTGGACCACTAGCCATTTTTATCTTTTGCTCTGGTGGTTTCTTAGTTGTATAACCAGCAGCTGAAACACCGACACGACGCAGCCATACGTGGAACGGTGACGGGAGGCTCCGCGCGCGGTTTGCTCCCGAAATTGTTCCTCGAGGCGGGAGCGCCCTCCCTACCTTCGCTGTCGGTGAGCACCTCCATGCGCCCGCTGAACATGGCCTTGAGCATGGTGTCCTGCTTGGTGAGGGTCTGCATGGTGGTGTAGTAGAGGGCCCCGCCGATGTTCAGCTTCACGTACTTGGAGCTGGGGCTGGCGCCCTTGAAGGACGTGGTGCGGGTGGCCGCCGCCGGCACCGCCGAGCTCACCACGCTTTCTCCCGACATCTCTTCCTGCGGACAAGGAGCTGCTCGTTACGCGGGAAGGACCCCCAGCCTCTCGTGCCCTTCTCGGACCCCCAAGGAGCAGCACACCCAGCACCGGGACGTTCCCCAGCTCCTGGAAGCTCCCGACTTGGTGGATTTTAGCACCACAAGGGTGAAACGGCAGCGTGCTGCTGGTGGAGAGACCCAAGGCAAGCGCGGGCACCACGCAGCTCCTCTCCCCATCTTGGAAAAGATTTTTGGTGTTTTAGACATTTTACTGAGCGGCTAAAGCACGCGCGGAGCCAGGGAGGCGCTCTGGGAAAGCCGGGCAGTGTTTTACACTGTGAAAACCAGGGCTTTCCCACACCAGATAAGCGAGAAGCTGCGCTCGCCTCCTCCCAGGCTTACAAAGCCCACACTCTTCCTCCATGTGTAATCCAAAATGGGCAATTCCCTAACACAGAACATCTGGATCTAGGAAACTTTCCGTGGTGAAACGTGGACGACCCTGGGGTTTTCTCGGGTTTTCCGCAGAGCAAACGTGGCTCCGCGGGCAGCGGGCACAGGCGGCCGCCCTCCCCCCTGCCCTCCC